TTTTTATCATTATTATTATTATAGGTCTTAAGAACCCCCAAATTCACTCATCCACGCTTACAATAATATTACTATTTTTCTAGACCAGAAATCGAAGACAGTAAATCTATTTTTGAACCGATCTGAACTCTGAACTTTCTATGCCTGCCGTACGGCACTTCTTGCGCTGTGGACTCTGTGTCAAAAGACATGCATTTCAACAAGCTATGATTCCTGCATGCTCGCGAGCTCTATCTATCAATTATTGAACTGTCGGAGACTCCCGATTCTAATTAGACTGCATAATGAATAACAACTTCTTTTCCGCTACTAATTATACAGTGCCGTCAATAAAGGAAAAACTTGCCGTCTTTCTGGTTAGATCTAGATCTAGTAGTAGTAGAAGTAGATTCTCGTGAAGGTTTATGAGACAGTTGGTTAGTTCTGTGGATATGTGTGAGTGTTGAATTCTTTTCACAAAGGGTGTTTCGCGTTGCGTCTTCTAGATTATTATTATTATTATTAATATGTTAATTCTGTACTGGTTTCTACTGTTCCAAATAGTGAAAGTTCGTGTATTTTGACGGTTTGACGGTTGTGCTCACGGTAGAGACAGTGACAGTGAATGAACAGCAACAGCAACAGCAACAACGACAACGATAATTACAACAACAACAACAACAACAACAACAACAATAACAACAACGACGACGACAGTAGCAACTTCGCTACAGCTGTACCGCATCTAGCATCATCACTTGTGCTACAACAGCAGCAACAGCAACAACAACGATAACAACAACGACAATAACAGCAACAACGACGACAATAACAACAACAATAACGACGACAACGACGACGACGACAGCAGCTACTTCGCTACAGCTGCCCCGCATCTAACGACATCACCACAACTCATACTTCACAACAACAACAACAACGGACGCAACGACCTCAGCAGCTGCAGCAAAAACCTGCTACGAACTCGTCGACGACAACCACTACAACTACAACGACAACTTCATCAACTACAACAACAACAGCAGCAGCAACTACAACAACTACAGCAATTACATTACATCAAAGAAACAGTACGGTGTCTGTGTTGACAAGCTGTCACCGCACCGACTCTGGTGAAATGCTGCAGTCGTTGTTGTCGCTGCTTCTCTTCAATAACTCGTGTGGAACGGAGTGAAAGAAAGAAAGAAAGAAAGGAAGAAAGAAAGAAAGAAAGAAAAAGAGAAAAGAAAGAAAGAAAGAGAAAAAGAAGAAAAAAAGAAAGAAAGAAAGAGAGAAATAAAGAAAAGAAGGAAGAAAGAAAGTAAGAAAGAAAAAG